CTGATTGAATTAAATTAAAGAACAGTATTTCAGCATACATAACAGCGCTCGTTTCCTATTCAATACATACCAAGGCTATGCAACCATTATGTTTAGAGGAAGCAATAAAATCATCCTTAGTCAAGAAGGAACCACTCAGGGAGACCCTTTAGGCATGCTAATGTATGCAATTGGCATATTACCTTTGGTAAAAAAACTAAAAAGCCTAAATTGGAAGCAAAACTGGTACGCTGATGATTCTGCATGTTTCGGTGAAATACTTAAAGTTAGAGAATGGTTTAACGCTTTACGTGTTGAAGGGCCAAAATGGGGGTATTACCCAGAACCCAAGAAAAGTGTATTGATAGTAAAACCTGAATATAAAGAAAAAGCAAAAGAAATTTTCAGAGACCTACAAGTGAAAATTGTAACATCGTACAGGTTTTTAGGGGGTATTATTGGTAGCTCAGAAGAAAAGAAGGAATTCGTGAAAGAAAAAGTAAAAAAATGGGTTGATTGTATAAAGAAATTTGGCATAGCTGCACATAAAAGTCCTCAAGCAGCGTATACTGCCTTTACTAAGTCATTACAAAATGAATGGGCATTTCTCCAAAGAGTAACAGAGGGATTTAGTGAAGAATACGAAGATTTAAAAACTGCCATACATCGCCATTTCACTCCCAACCTTTTCGAACAAGAGATTTCTGAACTTGAACATGACTTGTTCTCTCTCCCTACTCGTTTTGGAGGCTTAAATATTCAGGACCCGACAAAGAACGATGGTATTTCATTTGAAGCATCAAAACAATGCACAGAAAAATTAATATTAGCCATTAAAAATGGACAACCATTAAAGATTAATGATCATGTATCAACACTACAAGATGTAATAAAGAAGAGAAAACTAGAAAAAGACATGTTGGCTAAAGCAAATAATGAACGAATTATGGAATTACTTCCTGAAAGTCAAAAGAAGCCAATAATTAGAATTGTAGCAGGGAATACTAGCCAATGGTTAACTGTGACACCATGTGCATCTGATCATACGGATTTGTCCCCGGATCAATTCAGAGATGCTTTGTCAATTCGCTATGGCCGCACACTAAGAAATTTACCAGTACGATGTGATGGTTGTGATCAACCTATGAATCTAACACATGCATTAAATTGTAAAAAAGGAGGATTGATCAAACATGGGCATGATCAACATCGAGACCACTGTGCTGCGATAGCAAATATGGCCTGGAAAGGGGTTGAAGTCGAGCCTATTATGAGAGAAGCTGACCCTGCAAACAATGTGCCTGCTTTAAAAGCTGATTTTAAAGTTAATGGTATTTGGGAGGCTGAGAGAGTAGCGTTTTTTGATAATCGCATTGTTAATGCTGACGCTCCCTCTTACGCCAACCAAGAATGGGGAACAATATCTCGAAACCATGCCGTTCAGAAACACAATAAATATGACAAAGCAGCCGAAGACATCAGAGGAAGCTTCACACCATTAATATGTTCCACGGAAGGAGTCCCCCACAAAGAATATGAAGCGTTTCAGAGGAGAACAAGCGAAGCCCTGGCTGTAAAATGGAGAAAACCATACTCCCAAATTATCGGATGGTTGAGGATCCAAAGCCAGCTTTCCATCATTCGAGCAGTTTCGCTAAGGCTACGGGGAACTAGACGAAAAATTCGAAGCATTCAATTTGAAGATGGTGCCGCAATTCCCCCATTGCTCTATTGAGCTTTCATTTTATTTTTTTAAACATTTATATTTGATTGAAAATCATAGTAACAGCTGATAGAATGCAGAAGTTTATCAGTCCCCATGCATTTATTATGGTGGATATTTTACGTTATATCTCGTTTTCTGGTAAATTTATGGGAATTCTGCTATTTTTCCCGAGTCCCTAGGGTCAAGACCTTTAATTTAAGACCTCTCCCACTTTTCTGCGACTTACCAGACGTCCAAAATTTTCTGGTAAAAATTTGGTCTTACAGAATTATATATATAGACTAGTGGCTTGTAGGGGCCATAGCCCCTAATTTAGACTACAATAAAAAACATATATAAAAAGACAAATATTCGAAATATGTTTTTAAAGTTATCAGTTTTATGTTACTTAAAATTAACAGTGTTTCTTGTTTTATATCTTGGTTTACCTTCCGTTGGAGTCGTATATTAGTTGCTTCTGATGTGTCAATGAAATACAAATGTAAAATAATGACTAAATCAATAACACAACATAGGCCTATTAACAAATGGAAACGTGCACACGGTTTGGCCTGAGTCCGGAAACGACGAATCAGAGCTGAAATCATACAGCCAAACATTGCACATCTTTTCTACTTTAAAATTGAAGATTTTTTTGTAATCCTACGAATTCTGTTATAGTTTTCATTTTGAGAACCAAATGTTAAAATTATTATTAATTATTATGAAGGAAACTCCCCATTTCGCAGTGGTAAGTCAGAAATATATCTATGAATTTGTCCCTGAATTTTAAGACAGTAAGGCCCATTTCCCGGAATATCTTTTTGTGTAGCGGAAAGCGACGCAAAAGCCATTGCACTGTTGTAAAGCCTTATTATTATTATTATTATTATTAGCCTCATGTTTTTTATGAAGTTCGAATCATGTAAAAACAGTTCATTTAGTTCGTCCTTTAATTGTGGTTGTGGCATGTCCATTATGGCAACATGCGTTGAAATGTCCATTTGTGGCCTCCTCTGCGAAGTGAAAAGCGTCACAATGCATGCAAGTGCTTTAGGAGGACCTAGATTGTGAGAAACAACACTCAACTCATTTTCCAGCGTTATTCTAAAGACAGGTTGTAAAACAGCTTCTGGATTTCTTTCACAGTTAGGCCCTACATGACGTTCTCTTTTGCATTTCTGAAGTCTGTTGAATTCCTGGACACTCTTCCACGTCTTGCAGGTCTTTCCCTACCCTGTCTAGCTACTTCGCTCAATATAAAAACGAAAAACAAAAAATTAAACACAATTCATTTTGAAACATTGTTTACCAACATTGACTTTCGGAATCAATGTAAACATTGCAAATAAATAAGTAACAGCTGATAGAATGCATACGTTTTTCAGTCCCCATGCATTTCTTATGGTGGATATTTTACGTTATAACTCGTTTTCTGGTAACTTTATGGGAATTTTGCCATTTTTCCCGAGTCCCTGGGGTCAAGACCTTTAATTTAAGACCCCTCCCACTTTTCTGCGACTTACCAGACGTCCACAATTTTCTGGTAAAAATTTGGTCTTACAGAATTATATATATAGACTAGTGGCTTGTAGGGGCCATAGACCCTAATTTAGACTAAAATAAAAAACCATATATAAAAATACAAATAATCGAAATATGTTTTTAAAATTATCAATTGTATGTTACTTAAAATTAACAGTGTTTCTTGTTTTATATCTTGGGTTTCCTTCCGTTGGAGTCGTATATTAGTTGCTTCTGATGTGTCAATGAAATACAAAAGTAAAATAATGATTAAATCAATAACACAACATATTAACAAATGGAAACGTGCACACGGTTTGGCCTGAGCCCAGAGAACGACGAATCAGAGCTTAAATCATACAGCCAAACATTGCACATCTTTTCTAGTTTAAAATTGAAGATTTGTTTTGTAATCCTACGAATTCTGTTATAGTTTCCATTTTGAGAACCAATTGTAAAGTTTAACATTATTATTAATTATTATGAGGGCAACTCTTCCATTTCGCGGTAGTAAGTCTGAAATATATCTATGAATTTGTCCCTGAATTTTAAGACAGTAAGGCCCATTTCCCGGAATATCTTTTTGTGTAGCGGAAAGCGACGCAAAAGCCATTGCACTGTTGTAAAGCCTTATTATTATTATTATTAGCCTCATGTTTTTTATGAAGTTCGAATCATGTAAAAACAGTTCATTTAGTTCGTCCTTTAATTATGGTTGTGGCATGTCCATTATGGCAACATGCGTTGAAATGTCCATTTGTGGCCTCCTCTGCGAAGTGAAATGCAACAATGCATGCAAGTGCTTTAGGAGGACCTAGATTGTGAGAAACAACACTCAACTCATTTTCCAGCGTTCTTCTAAAGACAGGTTTTAAAACAGCTTCTGGATTTCTTTCACAGTTAGGCCCTACATGACGTTCTCTTTTGCATTTCTTAAGTCTGTTTAATTCCTGGACACTCTTCCACGTCTTGCATGTCTTTCCCTACCCTGTCTAGTTACTTCACTCATTATAAAAACGAAAAACAAAAAATTAAACACAATTCATTTTGAAACATTGTTTACCAACATTGACTTTCGGAATCAATGTAAACATTGCAAATAAATAAGTAACAGCTGATAGAATGCAGACGTTTTTCAGTCCCCATGCATTTCTTATGGTGGATATTTTACGTTATATCTCGTTTTCTGGCAACTTTATGGGAATTCTGCTATTTTTCCCGAGTCCCTGGGGTCAAGACCTTTAATTTAAGACCGCTCCCACTTTTCTGAGACTTACCAGACGTCCACAATTTTCTGGTAAAAATTTGGTCTTACAGAATTATATATATAGATAGATATATATATAGAAGATAGATAGATAGATATAGATGTTCCATCCGTAGCACTGCCATGGCAGAAGTCTGTCAAAAGCGTGTCGCTGATTTTGTTAGGTTGGTATAGCAGTGAGTTTTGTTATCCAATAACATGGCTTCTATAACTAGGTTGGTATAGCAGTGAGTTTTCTTATCCAATAACATGGCTTCTTATAACTCACTTACAACCCACGCAAACATGGCGGCTGGCGACACGCATCTTTGACATTCAGTGCTACCTCCAGTTAGAATTATAGCTCAGTTGTTCCATCCAATAGATTTCGTCCTTGTTGTATGTCGACTTTGTGAGACCCCACGGTATACGGATACTCTCAGTACACTTTGACTGCTTTGCTTTGGTACTTTGGTAATCAGCTGCTGTTCGTCGAGTCAGCTGTTTGTTACTGTCAGTCAGACTCAGCCAGCAGTCAGGACGAAAAAACCGATCCGGATCCCCCACTTGAACGATACCTTTAACTTTAACAAAGACAGCTACAGCTAAACGAAAAACAACCCTACGCTGTTTGTTTAGTGTTTACTGTTTCAGCTAAATGCCTTGTTGATTGAGTTAGCAAATCTTATCTAAATTATCGATAACGTAGGCCCAGTGGCCAGTGTTAGTGTTGTGTTGCTCTACTACTTCAAGTCATCAAGTAAGTAGGCCTGTTTGATTTTATGAACTTTCCATAAGGTCGTTGGATGTTTACGTTTTTTCTTCTTAACAATGCCATGAAGGCAAATAATAATTCAATCATAATTTTACCCAGATTCTAGTGCTTGAAGAGCCCAACTTTTGAGCCCTGAAACTTAAAGTTGTATTTAACCTACAGAGGCTCTGTTAAGGCATAGTCCCTATTAGGCCCCTAGTCATTTATTTGGTTTGAAGGGCCTGATAACTAAATTAGCATACTGCAAATATCTTGCAAGGTAGGCCCGTAGAGCTGAAAATATCTGTCTGCCTCATGTGTGAATTTACCAATAATATCTAGGGTTTAATAACTTATTTTCTACATTAGTCCTACCGTAGAAAAAACACATGAAAATGAAATGGGCATCCACAACCTTACGAACACTTTAAGCTAGAAGACTAAGTTCCAGTAGTTTACCAATTAATTTGTTCTTATTCTTAGGCTAAGTGCACACGGTCAATTTTTTGATTGGCCTTGATTTAAGTTAGCCTATGTCTAGGCGCACACATGGCGATTTTTCAGTAGAGAAGTGGATTTTTTAGTGTGTTAAGCTGTCCAAAAATAGTCTTTGTTGAATTAGCCTGTGTTTGTGCTCTTCTAAGTAGTTAGATCGAAGAAAAAAGAAGATAACGTGAACTGAGACGTTATCCTTAAGTAAATAACTAGCTCCATAAGTAAATAACTTATTGGATTCAGCAGATAGTACATAGGTCAGAGACTTTCAAATGGATAGTTTTATAAACTGTAAGTTAAATATATACTTTTTATGTGATGACAGTAAAAAGTTCTCTAATTAATATGTCTGTTGAAGGGTTTTTACTATTATTAGTTGGTCAACAGATAACCACCACAATGCGACTAGATGTTCCATCAGAGGAAAGACTGTCAGTAACTCTTAGATAAGTCATTATTGAACCACACTATATACCACATTTATTCAAAAGAAATTAATTAATGTTTTATTCAAAACGTGGAGAGTGACTTACTTATTCCGTATAGGTGCCTCCAAACAAAATTTTAATTTTGATATCTTATTTTAGAGTTTTTTACCTCCTGAATCCAAATATACCAGTATTTTTCACCGCTGATAAATATTTCTCAAGAAATCGCCTTAAAAATAGTTGACGGTACTCATACAACCTTACAATAAACAAGGTAGGATGGATAACATTTACAAGTGGAATGAACTGTGGGTTAACTAAGTAAGCCTACAGCTGACTGTTTTCAACCGTACACGACAAGCAACTGGAAGTAACAACTTTTGAACTTTTTTAATCCACTCTGATTCTGTCATTGGCAATATGCCTTGTGACGTCATTTTACTTCACTACAACTAAAACACATAACAAATATACTCATACTCATACGTGCTGCGTAGTGCTTGTCTGCTACTCCATCACTCACAAGTTTAGGTTGAGTGAAGAGAGTAGGCCTAACATTGATGAGAAAATAATAGAATAGAATATCATTGATGAAACATGATAACATTGTTGTAGAAACATTACAAGTGATTCTGGAGTCAACAATGTTTTCTATAATAGCAATTTCTTCACATTATGGAGATATAGTATGGACTGGTAGACTAATTACATGTAAGTTAGTTCCAATTTAGACAAATGGAAGCATTTTTGTAATAGTAATTTGAAGAGTTTTTCTCAGGATTTTAATTTTTCAAAAACAGTGCAGACGATATAAACTAACAACTTGATACATTATAACCTAAACTTTACCTTCCTAATCTAACCTAACTTAAAAACACTTAATGTAATCAGTCACCAATTCACATAAAGCACAACTTACCACCCTGACATGCCTTTTCTGACATCAACAGGAGTTTGCTTGCATTCTAGACTTTTGGTTTGGTTATGTATGTTAGAATAGCACCATTTTATTATGTAATTTCTAAACAGCAAATTAATATAAATCATTAACCCTTCCAGGGCTATGCACGGATATCCATCAATCTTTGTTTACTTTCTTACTTGTATACATGTATACTTGTGTTGATCCCACGAGTAGTTTTCCAGCCGTGGTCGTCAAAGCTGTTTAATTTTCAGGTAGGGCCTATCTTCTCCCTCCCAAAATTCTTCCAACTTGTAGTAGGCCTTTTCTATTAAATAATTTTTGAGTTTTTTCTTTAACAAATTTTTGTCTTGGCAGCTTCTTATTTCTTCTGGCAATTTATTAAATATCTTACTTGCAAGCTGTATGATGTGGTCCAGCTATTACCAATGATGTTCGGTGACAATTCAGGTGTACCGTATATGGTTTTGTTGCCTGGTGTTGTAATTATGTATTTCGTGGTTGCGTTTGAAGACTTCCGGAAATTTCCATATCATAATAGCTGATTCCAATATATAAACGGAGGTAAGGGTGGGAACTTTAAGATTAATAAAGAGTGATCTGCAATGTTCTAAAAAATGGGTTTTACAAATTATTCTAATAATTCTCTTCTGTAGTAGAAAGACTCTGTTTGCTTCACTGCTGTTGCCCCAAAGTAGGCTACGAACGATGCCATAACTCAATACGCTATGAAAGCAGCCATAATAAACTTTCATCAGGATATGATGATCCACTATGTTTTGTAGTCTGCGCATAAGACAGCATACTACCAAAGTTTTGAGGTTATATGATCAATATGGATATTCCATCTAAGGTTATTGCTTATTTTGATTCCAAGATAGTTTACGTTATCGTTTATTTTTAAGTTTAGATTTTTTAATTTTAAGAGAGGGCTATGGTCAGGTGCCTTTGTGTTGAAAAAATTTAAAACTGATGTTTTGTTTTCATTTAGTACTAATTTGTTGTCGTTGCACCATTCTTCCATCTGATGAACGCCTATCTGGGACTTGCGTATTGTTTTTTCAGAGTTTTCGGGGCTGAAAACGGATATATCCGTCCTGAGAATTTTTTTTTCTGGGCTAACAGATATATCCGTCCAAAAAACGAATTGATATACAATGTTTATAATAGGGTAATAAACATTACACTGTATTATAAATGGGTTATTTTGTTTTTGTGGTTGGCAATAATAATTGCTGCAGCTGTTTTGATTATTTTGCACCATAGAGTGTTTTGCAGACATTTAAATTACAAGTTGAGAAGAGAACTATAATCTTGTTTATGCTAGTTTAATATCTATAATAAATTATTTACCTATTTTGCCTGAAGGTCTTGTAGTTTGTAGGTCTTGTCAATGGGTTCAAACAACATTGAATTGATTTATAATATATATATAACGGGTACTTGAGTATTAAACGGAGGCCACCTAACCTACAGTTTCTTAACTTAGCTATGATAATACTGATTATTAGTAAACCTTCATTCGATGTTTTCACTATCAGCAAGTTTGGTTGGTTAGGTTAGGTTATGATAGTTTAATTTTATAACTGATAAGACACAGTGACAGGCGATGACAGGTAATGGCGCGCGCTCCGGTCAACGACCCTGACCTTGGCCTACTTGGAGGGGATTCTGCGAGTAGACACATGACTCATCTGATAACGCTCGACTCACAACAATACTAGAATAGTTCTACTACAACATCTATAACAATTTAACCCTCTATAAGTGCCGCGGCGCGTTTCGTAATGGTGGCCTCCTTTTAATACTCAAGTACCGTATAACGTATGGATTAAGGAATGAAACTGTTCTAACCTAACATTACTAACAAAACTTGCTGTAAGTTACCCTTTCAAAACTCTGTTTGATAATAGGCTAACAGAAAAGTTATGTGGGAAATATCAAACGGAATTTTGAAATGTTACAGCAAGTTTGGTTAGGTTAGGTTATCTAGGTCAACTAATATGTTTCAATTCGTTAATATCGATATATCGGATCTAAAAATAAAATATCAATAGGCCTACGGTATATGAAAAGAAATCTTCGTTAATAATGAATGTTTACTTTAACAGGAAAGTACCTTTTTGTAAAGTAATTTAAAATGACTCAGTCTATCCAACTTTTGTTGGTCAAGGATAAGGAGATCAAGAATAATTCCTTTACCTACAATTATTGTACCGTAGGTAAAGGTTGTTCACATGCGAATCGTAACAACTCAAAATGTGATCAGAACAAAACTAAGATAATTATTTTCCTTTATGGTAGGCATACATATTTTTGGTTACAACTTAGGGTAGGCCTACACAGCCTGAAGGAAGGGCATAAGTTAGCAGTAAAGTTTTAAACACGTCAAGGATTCAATAAACTAAATAAATGGGAAAGCCTTTACTCCTCATGTTAGGTTTAGGCTGAGAGTGCCACAAATTAGCCCATAATTCACCGTTAATAAATAATTTTATGTTTTTATTCACAGACAATATGTCCGCTGTAAGGTGTGGACTTTCTGCCAGCAAATTAATGTTGCCTTGGGGGAAAGTACAGCCAGGTATGTATAAACAATCATTCACAAACAACAATTTATTAATATTGGATAAGTTTTTTAATATACTCCATAATAAATTATTAGGTATGCGGCCTCAGGTCCGCCAATTGAGTGAAGTAGCCTAAGCATCGAAATAAAAAAATAACCTTCTTTACAGAATCAATAAAAAAAAATATTATACAGCCATACTTTATCTTAAAAAAAGGATTGGCATTGATGGTATTTCAACTTTTCTGCTGAAACAAACATATTAAACCAATCTTAAAAGCAACCACAATCCTTTTCAACAAATCACTACAATCAGACATTTTCTCAAGCTCAAATGCTTTTTAAGTTTCAAAAATAATCCCGGTTTTCAAAAAAGGCAGTAGTGGTAATGAGGATAACTATAGACCAATTACTGTTCTTCCGACATTGTCCATGGCTTTAGAGAACCTAGTCCACGACAGGTTAGCATCTTTTTTAGCCAAGCATGAATTAATAGCTCCATACCAGTTTGGGTTTAGGCCGAGTTGTCTACTACCGAGATGCTCTAGTCAATTCACTTCCAAAATAATTTCAAGTCTGGAAAATGCTGAATCGGCAATCGGTTTATTATGTGACTTATCAAAAGCATTCGATCGGGTTGACCCATGATATTCTTTGTGACAAATGTGAATGTGGTGGTATACGTGGAATCCATCTTTAATGGTTCCTCAAGGTCATATTTAGTGGTTCGTAAGCAATACGTTGAGGTTGACACAGAATGCTGTTCCGAACTCGCCAAAGTGAAATGTGGTGTCTCTCAGGGCCCTATCCTTGCACCCCTGCTTTTTATTCTTTATATTAAATGACGTCGGTGCTTATGTTTGTCCTAACTCCTTAACATTGTATGCAGATGATACCACTATGCTTTTTAAGTCTGAGGTTGATTAAGAGAACATGTCTTCTTCAATTACAAATTTTGATGTCTGGCTTTTTAATAATAATCTTATTTTAAACCAGAATAAATCTAATTTGTCCGATTTCTAACATGAAACAAAAACCCACTGCATTTAAAACTACCACAATCTTCAATAAAAGAATTTCTGAAGTCAAGTTTTTAGGTGTTGTTATGGATTCTTAGCTGACGTAGCAATCACCTATTTCAGATTTTTGTGGTCATTTGAGCAAGGTGAGCTTTGCCTTGAGAACATTGGTATTGCTTGATCAAAAGGGCCTGATCAATGTTTACCACAGATGCTTTCAGTCTGTTATGTCATATGGTATAGAGATTTGGGGAGGTTCCACACATGCAAACAAATCGTTTATGGAACAGAAACGAGCTTTTCCCATTTTGTCTGGTTTCCCCCACCCTTTCATTCCTGTAGGGGAGTTTTTCAAAATGTTAATATTCTCACACGTTTTTCTCTATAAGTTTTTAAAGTAGTCCTTTTCATCAAGCATAAAATTGGGTCTCTTCCTACTGTTTGAGATAGACATAGGTATCCCACCAGACATGGCTCAGATATTCTTCTTCCACAAATCCGCCTGATGAACTGTCTTCCAACCAATGTAAAGGAATGTTATGAAAAAAAAGTTTAAAAAATTAAAAATTAAAACCTACCAACTTGTAGAAAATGAACCGTAGGCCTACAATTTAATAGAATTTATGTCTGGCTGTTTGCATCTTCATGTTTCAATATTGTGTTTCTTATTTATGAAATGTTATTAGTTTTTATATTTGACGACCGAGATGTATAATAATTGTAACAGGTTGTACCTATTCAGAGAATACATGATTTACTTTATTACTTATAAGGCAACAAATGTTCACTCAGGACCAAAGAAAAGACGATTGGTTATAGTGTTCACCTCAATATCTCAAGGTTGCTGGTTTGATTCTGAGTGGGGTCAATTCAGGACCCGGATGCCATTTGTCAAAGTCCCTTAGTTCAATACCACAGCAACAAATGTGTGTGTTGTACAATATTGTAGCCTACATCTAAACAGTATGATCATGTGCATGGTCACCAGTCACCACAATGACCCTTAGTACCATTCAGTTCAAGGGGATATTCTCTTTGTGAATTGGGCCTATCAGTGATATTTTTTATTGTATGTGGTATATTGGCTTGGTAAACTTTTTTACAAGACCAAATAAATAAGAAAACACAGTTTTTGGAAGGAAGATGACCAATGTGACGAGGATTTATATTGTGTATAGTGTAAGCCTTTGACTAACCAATCTAAAGTAAATTTTTGTGCATATTTACTTTTATTCTTTGTATTTCATATGTCCACGTTACATAGCAATTGATGAAGTCGTGAAAGAGGTTTGGTAGTACTGTAAATACATAGTTGAAACTTTTATCTAGGCCTCTTATTTGGCTTAATTGCATATTTTATTCTTATTAGTCCTGAACTGAAATATTTAGGTCTATGTTGTTTCCTTAGACCATAATTATTTGTACACCTGGCCTTGACACATTTTGATGGGCTTTCAGTTAAAAACTGTCTTTAACAACTAACATTACAACTAAGCTGATTTTCAGAAGTCTCTTTTGCCTTTTTTAAAGTAGTCTCACAGCTGAGGAGTGTTAACTAGGCATATCCTTACTGTCAACAGGTTTATGTCTACAACTTATTCTGCGTAATGATCTGAAATGCTGTAAATTAAGAGGCTTGGGTACAACCTCTGTGAGACTATTAGCGGCTGACTCTAGCGGAACGCATGAACCTCCATCCAAAGACACCAAGAAGACGTCAGGGGGAGGGAAAGGACCAGATAATCATCATGTTTGCCCCAAGTGTGGTGATCCAAACATCCATGTCGAAACTTTCATGTGTGAGTGCTTGATAATCTTTCTCTTAAACCTTAGTGAAGTAAAAGTTCTGAATTTTTAAGAGTTGTTAAATATAATAATTGTTTATAGCCTATAATAAGTTTATAAATAATTTCAAGAATATAATCCTTTGTTTTATAGTGGCGATCCAAACATTTTGTCTATCTATTTATTGGTTGATTTTACTTATAAAAACCAAGCATCATAGGTTAAACTGGAACTAGCCGTGAGGAATTCAGTTATAATCTGTTTTTAGTAACCTGTTGACAACTGATGGTCGCTAATCAGTGGTGTAGTCTTAAATCTTCCAGTGTGGAAACGCTCACTATTTTCACAGAAAAATACAGGTCGCTTACCAATATATTGGTTCTTTGGGACGTTCCCGCACCACTACGCTGCTGTCTGTAATGATGGTTACAAACAGACCGACAGCCTGAATTCTGAGCGTAGGTGTTTTTCCCCCACAGACAAATGGCTTAAAAGTGAACACAGGAATAACTATACCCTGATGAATCGCTATATATGCTTACAAGACTCGTTTTGGCTTTCTTAAAAAGGCTATTAAACATAAAAATAACCAAAAACTGCATGATTGCAATGTACAGACAAAACTGTAATTTTATATAGGCTAATAAATATTTATATAGATGAACTGTTGATAGGCTATAGTTTTTATTTTTAGTTTTCATTGGTCTGTGTTTTAAACTTTAATACAACAAAATACAGACAACTTCATATTTTTCAGGCAACAACAATATATGGAGATTGCGTGGTGTGAGTGTAGGGATTTTATTCATTGTTTCTTAGATGGTCCTATTTTGAGTCTAGGGGATCAGTCATCTGAACACATCAGTTAGCATTGGATTAATGGGTTAGGCCATTTTACATACGAGGGCTATCCAGAAAGTTGATTACGTTTTTGTCTGTATCCGCTAGGGGCGGGGCTAGCGCCACCGTCTTGGTGTTAGTTCGTTATGCAGCTTAGTCGGCATCTAGCCGTGCTAGTAAGGGGTTTTTGCTGTACTCCGTTGACTTACTGTGACAGTTTAAAATTTCTGTGTTAATTGAAAATGCCGTGAACTGTGAAGTGGGTGCAGTTATAAGGTTTTGACTACAAAAAACTGTAATCCGATAGAAATCTATCGGCAACTTTGTGAAGTTTATGGGGAAAACATTATTACTGATGATGTTTGGAGTTTGTCAGTGGGTCATCAAATTGTAAAATGGCCGAACTAACGTTCACGACAAAGAGTGAAGTGGAAGACCCAGCATTGTGACTGCCGAACTTGTCGAAAAAGTTGATGCCGATGCCCGTAAAACTCGAAAATTCACAATAACAGAACTCTCTATGGGGTTTCCACAAATTTCGGGAAGTTTGTTGCACGAGATCATAACCGAAAAGCTTGGTTACCTAACTGTAACCAAAGAGTCCATTCATTTTTTTTGCACGCACTTCACAGTTTGCGGCATTTTCAATTAACACAGAAATTTTACAGCAGAAACCTCTTACTAGCACGGCTAGATGCCGGTTGAGCTGCATAACTAAAATACGTCAAGATGGTCGCGCTAGCCCCGCCTCTAGCGTATACAGACAAAGACGTAATCTACTTTCTGGATAGCCCTCGTACAACTGATCTACATCACTGGAACGGACGGTGCTTATTTATGAGCCACAGGCGCTAACATTTTAAACCAATCTTATTGATTGAGTTATGACTCACTTACTTTTGTGCGTATTCCATATTGAATATAGAGTGATTGATTTAAACAGCTGTTATAATTTTATACAGTTGCGAAGGATTTGTGTAAAGAGAAACACATATGGTGTGAAATCAAGCCAATAAAAAAACTTAATTCATTTGTTTTTTTATGGTGTGAAATTTGCCAACCACTAAACCAAAACGTTACTGTGTAGCTCATGTTGAAATTAATGAAAATGTTTCAATTTGATTTAACTGTCATGTAATTTCAGCATCGTCAAGGTTTGTCAAGTGTGGGAAATGTGATCATTTTTTCATGGTCCTTTCCGAGTTAGAAAATAAACGCACAATGAAAGATCAACTGCGAGATGACCCCAAGTCTGGAACTTATGTTCGGAAACCTCCTCCACCTCCAAAGAAGGTAAGAATTGTAACTTTTAGCATGTGTTTCCTGTAAATTTTAGTATGCCTAGTGTAACTGATTGTAAGGTTATTGTAAGCCTAAGTGAATTTATATTTATATTTTTTAAACTCTCAACTCACAAGATCTGTTACCTAAACCTTTATGACCTCCAAAATACTTAAAAAAGCTAGTAAGGATAGCCTATAACAATAAATAAGGAATTTAAGTTTTAAAATATGTTTCATTGATATTTAGGTTTTACAGCATTTACATCTGGAATAATCACAGTAAAAAGGTTTTCTATTATTTTATTATATGTGTGTATTTTATTAGATTAGCTTCATTCAATAGCTAATAATATGAATGCCTATTTATGAATTTTGTTTAGTAAATATTAATTTATAAAACTGCTAAGAATTGGAACTTATAACAGAAAATATTTTTCTTTACCTAATCCATATGGAATTTGTTTCTAGAAGTAAGTTGTTACTATATCGCTTACAGTGAAAAGATAATAATAAAAATACCCCCGCCGCAGCAAACCTGCAGACTAAGCGAATTTTCATTTGCCTGATTGGATTTACACTAAAATGTCTCCCTTAAAAATATCACATTTATCCCTATTTAAATAGAATCAGTTTAACACATACTTAGGTTTGCTGCAACAGGGAGGGTAAAAGTGTTTTTTTATGTAAAATGTAAATTGTTAGTAAGAAATAAAAACATGTTCCAAATTTGGGCAAAATATGTTAATAAACAAGCAAACTACAACAGTTTACTTATTCTCCATAAGAATAACATGGGAATTTTAAATTTGCAATTTTTTGGAATTTACTCCGTAACCATTAGGCGCATTATAACGCTTCAATATACTAAATTATTTGTTTTTTTAAGCTCTACAAAATAGTTTAGAAAGAAATTGCAAAATTTGATGTTTTTTGGGTCAAAAATGGGAAAAACCCATTTTTACCCCATAAAACCCCCCATAAACCCCCGTTCCCATGGTCTGTTCATGCTGGTTCGCGAACTCGTTCGAATAAACGTAGGTTTACACGTTTGTACCAAATTTAATCAAAATCGGATCATTTTTGCTCGAGTTATCGCGCTAACGGACACATATATATATAAATATATATATATATAAATATATATATATATATATATATATATATGAATTTGAACGGATGGTGTTTTTGGCCTCTAGGGACCTCAAAACGAAAAAAAAAATCGGTCCCGCGTCCAGGTCTTACCATGAGTACTACGGTAATAGCTTATTCCCTATATGGGAAATTCGCTAAAAGAGAGTTCTTTATGTTGTATATATATTAGATTAGATTGACAAAAATGACATGGTATATTGCAAAAAATTACATATATAATACATTATTTTTTATTGAAAATAAACATTATTTCCCATTTCTATTTTAGATTTTGTTGAATTTAGCTTGTAGCTTCCCTGTAGCAATTGTATATAATAGAAATATTGCTTTTGTTACAATTTACAAAAAATCTTCTAAACATGTCTCAATTAGGAGCCTAGCAATAATTTTTACTCAGGAATACAACTCAACACAAGTTATCAAATTCTTAAGTAACATTATTAAGTTTAGTTATTTTTAACTGAACCAAACAATTTTTTGGCTTTTGCTCCAGCTAGACTGGTTTCATAACCTTGATTGATATGCTAGTGAAACTGCTTGGCCTTGAGACTAGTTTCCTGGTATATTTGTCTTCCTTTCAAATTACCATGATAACCTTTATTTGTTCACTGTTTTGTGTAGAATCGTTTAAACAAACCCAAACAATATAATGTATTTTTGATCTTGTACAAAGAAATAAAGACACAAGAACTTTAACATTCCTCATCCTAGCTAAAAAATTTCATCTTAGCATTTGATAAACAATTATAATTGATTAAAGTCTACTTGAAATCAAAACAATATCCAATAGCAGCTTCATTTTCGTTTGAATAAAAATTCAATGGACATAATTGTAAATAAAATTCTAAATTCAAATTTCCAATTCAAATGCAGAGGTAACTAAAGCTTGAATGAAGCTTGGTTGCTGTTGTGAAGAGGTGTCTTTCTGTACAATATTCTCAATCAAGGAACAGTATTGTTGCACAGTCCAGTGTCTTTTACTTTTACTAATAAAGTAGACTCCCTCTCATCCGGACTAGACTCGGCAGGAGTGATATCTCTTTAACCGGACAATTTTTATTTTATCAACACATCGATTTAAACGGACCGGATCGGCAGGAATTAGTCACTGTGGTCAGTATTAAAATGACTTTTCTAATGGGTAGATTCGAGACCAGTGATCATGTGTCTAAATATATAGTTATGGGGGTTTGCTTGGTAAATATTTGGGACGTCAGTTTAATGGGAAAACCGTTATTGGTCATCCTTAAGGATAGCTTGAGAAAAATTTCAAACGGCTACATCTAATATACCCTGTACTCAGTAATTACTAATTAGTTTGTAATACATCTCTTTGGTTATCATCTAATTGATTAACGATTGCTTAACAATTTGGATGGTAAAAGAAAATAAAATCCCAATTTGCCAAATTAACTAATTAAAAGCTAATTATAAATTAACTGTCTTCTTAATAGATCATTATGATATTCTGGTGAGGATAATTAGCGTTTCTTGAAAATTAGTGTTTAATGAAATGTACTGTATAAACATATTGTTTGTAAGCTAAAATATTTTTTTAACATAGGCTAGTTATTTTTACAAGATTTTCTGGTATAAAAAATATTGCAAGAATTTTTTTTTAATTTTATTTTGATTGGCTTAGTTTTTGCACACCTTTTTCTGTTAGTGCCGGTCCAACCAATCTTGAAATAAAATAATTATAAACTTATAAAACTGATTTTTACTAAAATCATATATCCTAAAATTCATCTTGTGATTTACTTAATTACCTATAATGTTAGTGATTTTTATACTAAAAACATTTTGAGTTGATATTTACATGAAGCGGTGGATGCCTATTTATATAACACTGTATAAACAAACTTGACTTTACCAAACCAATATTTGTCAGTCAACGTAATTTCCTGTGTTAAAGTGTGGTGATTTTTCTATGTGATGACAGCAGTTTTTTGTTTTCAATATGAGTAAATGAATGTATGATAGTGACCTTAATAGCTATTTACCTTACAAGTGTAGTAAGGGCGTTTGCATAATTTACCTAAGTGATGTAAACACGCTCTTGCGTAACGTGTAACGTACAAGATTTACCAGACCCGAAAATATACAGGAGGTTACGAACAATATTTTTCATTATCCATTTCACTCATCTTCTAACAGTAACGTTCATTTTACAAACAAAAGCTAGGTTACGAAAATTCTTCAAAACATAACAATAAAATTCAAGCGCACAGCTGATTTCTAGCGTTGAACGTCGTTGGCTCCATAGAGGTATATTTTTTAAGTTAAGCACTCAATGTTATTTAAATGGGTTTCATTACCTCACCGAGTGAGTTTTTTTCAACTTTACATCACTCGAGAAGTAAAGAAGTTGTATACATCACGCTTGGGGTAGGAAAGTTTAACATGGCGGGTTAGGTAAAATATGATAATAAAACTTTAATGAGGCTACTAATGTTTTGCTCGCTATATAATTTGCTTTGTTTTAATTATTGTAGTCGTTAATTACATTATTAAACTCTTAATTTGGTTGATATCAAAGGGTCAGTTAAAATCATGTTTGTGCTTAAAACATAAATTCAATCAAACTCAAATACAAATATGTTATAAATACCCCCGCCGCAGCAAACCTGCCGACTAAGCGAATTTCCATTTGTCTGAATTGATTTTCAGTTAAATATATTTTAATAACATTAGGTTTAACGAGTACCTAGGTTTGCTGCTACAAGGAAACTAATAAAGTGTGTTTTTGAGTAAAATATTGATAGCTTAGTACAAAATAAATAAATTTGCCAAGTTTGATCAAAATATATTCATAAACAAGCAAACTACAACATTTTGACAATATTCTCCATAAGAATAACATGGGAATTTTAAATTTACAATTTGTTTAATTTTCTCCGTTACTAATAATCGAACAAAAATACTTTTATATACTAAATTATTTGTTTTTTTAAGCTCTTTAAAAAGGTCTAAAGAGAAATTGGGAAATTTTGTGTTTTGAGGGTCAAAAGTGAGAAAAACCAATTTTTACCCCATAAAACCCCCCGTAAAGCCCCGTTCCCATGGTCCGATCGTGCTGGTTCGCGAACTCATTCAAGTTTATCCCGCTTTACACATTTAAACCAAATTTCATCAAAATCGGACAAAAATTACTCAAGTTATCGCGTTCACGGACGTATATATATATATATATATATATATATATCTTTATAGACTGCAGGATAACACTACCTACCGCATTGGATTGCAGGATATTACTCCCCGCGAGGTAGCAAAGTTTGGTAGCGTTATGCCTGCATTTCAAACACTTGGAAGCCGGGGTAACACTACCTAGCACTCAGATTGCAGTATATCACTACCTCACTCCAATTTTATTGTTTTTCACCATATCACTACTTGCAGGCTTAACACTACCCAGTGATACCAACTCCTAAAATCTTTTAGACGCTAATATGCTTTGTTTGTTTTGTCTAACTTATTGATTATGATAAAACGGCAATTTTTAAGTGACAAATTTATCGTAAGCAGTTTAAGATGTTGAATTACCGGTACTGAATTACAAAACATAAATTTATTTAGTTCTCGAATATGGAGTTTAATTTTAGACATATTTGCTCAATTCTAATCACATTATACTATATTTTTTTTTCAAAAACGTTTAGTTAAATACCAGCTTTCATTTTAGTGGTTGACTATTATGATCGAATGTATCTAAAGCACGCTGCAGAAGCATGACCAAAAAAAAGCTATTTATCATTGAGTGATAGTTAAACTATTTTAATTGAAACATTAACGTCAATTTTGACGGGTCTCACCTAGTACTTTTGATTTAAAAAAAAAAACATTGAAATAAACTGT